TTTCGAAGATGTTGATTGCTTATTGAACACGATATTTTTATACTTCAACAGTATATCAGTCTCATTTCTCTATTGTTTTTTCTATACGTGATAATGAAAGGGAGAAATTGTAAAGAAAAAGCAAATTCATTCGATATAAAAACGAAACTATCATCCTTGGTTTTTTGGCAAATATAAAATAAAATACTAATACTAAAAATAATGTTTTTTATGCTATTCATATTACAGAAGAATTTATTGAACTATTTGTTTTCCGCAAATGATTAATGATCGTAAAAAATATGAAATAAGCTTTCTACATTTTATTAACTGATATTAAATTCGATTGAAAAAAAATTTCAATCTGTCGTTATTATACTGTTATTTAGAGATGAGATTTTTCGAATTCAATATATAATTGAGCAAAGTTGATTGGACACTACCACTTTATATGTTTTAATATCGGAAAATCATAGCTATATATATGGCATAGCCATTATACGCTATATCAGGATTAGCCATAAGAAGTATAAGTGACATATACTATCGAACGTCAATAGTAGACTATACTCAGAGAGAAAATAGCGGGAAAATGATGTATGCGCATCACAAAAAGAATAGTATGAACAAAAATGTGATTGTAAATTATTTTTATCTCATAATTGGCATTTTCATTTATTTCTATTAAAATATTCTCTAAGTCTAATCAGACAGACCATAGATACACCGTATGTATTACTTGACAAATGCACACGTTCTAAGACAACAGTACTGAGCATAATTGTTCGCTCAAGTAATCGATATCAATTATTATTTTTACTATATCTATGAGCTGTACAAGCTCATTTTTTCCATTCATTTATATTTTCTCAGGAAAAAAATTATAGTTATAGAATCAGGATGTTAATATGTGGATATTTACTATTCTTAGCCATGCCAATACTGTCTTTTGTTTATTAAGTATAATCGTCACAAGAAGATGTGCAAAAGCAATTGTGTGCACTCGTTTTCTACTTCGATCGTTGTCTACTGTAGGTGTGAGGGTGGATATTAATGTTCTCTCAATCCACCACCACATACATACCTACACCACCTGCACGTTCATGTTTACTCACACTCAGCATCATGGTTATTTGAAAAGTTATAATATTTTCCATTAAAAAGATTCTTGCTTTCAACAAAACTAAATGCGTTCTTAAACTACTTCCTTTTGATTTATCTTCTTTTTTGTTTTGAGTTCATAAAGGATGTGGGTATGATTCCTTCATATTCAGCATCTACGCCCACATTTTTCGATGAATTAACAACTAATTACTTGATATATTTATTATAATTTAGATTTGAAAGTTTCAAAAATAGAATACATTCATCTTGATATCCTTTTTTCCTAATATTATTTTGTTTTACCTTTTATCTGATTGATTCATTCAAGAATAACATAATCAACATTAGCAAAGAAAATATTCATTTAGATTATATTCTTTTCTCAAGTAGCTTTTTTTTGTATTGATTTATAATTGATATGAACGAGTCGAGAAAAAAGAAATGAGAGCACTATACTTTTTTTTATTTTGACCGTCGATTCGATATTCTCATTTGTATGATTTTCTGATAGAAAAGATAAAATAAGATTCGTTGGAGACTCGAGTTAAAATCTAAGTTAGATTTAATGACTTATGATCCATGAGAAAATTATGTCCGTTCGATTAAGTGTCGAGTAGACGTTTGTTTGTGAAATTATTGACTAACCCATCGAAAAACAAAGACAAAATTACTCTATTTGCATGAGAATAACCTTGTCTTTTTGTCCTTAATGAATATCTTAATAGTAATGATTACAAGAAAAAAATGTTTGGTATTTTATAAGTATGGCCGATGGAAACAAAATCTGAAATTGATTTTCAACATTTCAAGTCACATACCTTATGTGTTAATCATGTACACATGGTCGATTAAAGCATTATCATGCATATTAATTGAATAAAGTTAATACCATGGATAAATTTTGTATATATGTCTTTGTTTATCATTTTCATCGTAATGAATTAATTCGTTTAGGAAATCATATTAATTTATGTGAATTATTTATTAAGAAATTTTTCTAATAATTATTAACTTTATTAATCGATACATTATGATAGAAATTATTCACATTGATATATTATCAAAGTTCAATTGTAAGTTAAAACATCATTTATTTACTTTCGAACAGAATACTATCAATTTATCAGTTCTATACTATGATATGTTTACTAGACATTCATCAAATAAGCATCAAATATAGAAAATTTAACAAGTTGAAATTGTTTGTACAAATATGTAAAACAGTGCATTAAAACTTTGGAAAAGTTGCCATTTTTAGCAATTTTTGTCGAATACTCTTAACTCTTTCACAAAAAATAAAATAAAATTTCAAGAATGAAGATACAAGGAGAACTTAGTACCGCAGTCTCTCGAGTACAGTTCGAATATATTTTGAAAATAAAATGCTATTTGCATGTTCGAGAAGTAAGATTGATTATTGAGAGGGAAAGTGAAGGAGGATTGAAAATGCATGTTCAAGTAAAATAGTAGCTTTGCTATTATTTACTAATCAACCTAGATTATTAACTAAAAATGAATATTTTCTATTAAATAATTCTTCTGAATATTCTTCATTAATATCTTATTCTAATGATCGATTATATGAACAAATTAGACAAATAATTAAAAAGTCTAATACCTTTGTTTATTATATCAATATTGGTTTATACAAATTTCTATTGTAAAACATGTACGAACACCGATTTAACAACAAGAACAAGGGGAAGATTTTCATCAAACGAGCTTGAACTAAAAAAATGACTAACTTACTAAACAACATATTAAGAATATTCCACTAAACAAACAATCTATTACGATTAAATCTTTTACATATTTAATGAAATTTGAGAAAATATCTTCAAGTATTGATCCATAACAAAACAACTCGTTTCTGATAAAAAAAGGTGAGGATCTGAATTAGATTGTAATTTATGTTAATGTCATCTAAAATTTCTTTTCTCGTATATCGGTTATTTAATTAATGCCAGTCGACAATTTGATCTGAAAATTTTTATTTGTTTTCGATAAAATCTTTCATATATTTGGACAAAATTTTAGTTCGATGTCGTTTATTAAATATGGTGATAAATATAGGTCACATGTTGAGTAAAACAATGATAAGTCTCGGCTTAAGGTAAGGTTAGAATTATTTTCGAGTTTTTCTTTTAATTGAATATTGTTTATCGAACAAAGTATGAAGGAGATAAGATGAATCTGAAAACTTTGTGTATTATTCTTGTTAAATTTATATTTGTTTTTAAAAATTGATTTTGAATTTTTAATAAAAGATCATTCAGATCAAAATTATATTTTTAAACATTTTTGTTAATTATCGAATGAACTCGAAATAATTTGAGTATTATTTCTAAAAATAAAAAATGTAGTAATAATAAAATTTTCTTCAATTGTGCCAAAAAAAAATCTTCGTACAATACAATTATTTGTTAGTTCAATAATTGCAGAGAATATTGTGAATATGCATCAAACAGCAAAGCATATAAAATCAGTCGATTTCCATCACTACACAAAGAGCCAATATACAAAGAATCGCAAGGATATTTATCATAGGGCATACAATATTTTACACTTATATAATCTTCATATCGTTAATAGAGTGATTTCTAATAAACTGAATTTGTTAAGGACATGGAGATTATGGAAGACTTCGGTACTTTTATTGATCATTAGTAAATGCTATTTGAAATTCAATTGGAAGAAAACGTTCAAGATTTGAACAACTTTTTGAAAAAAAATGAAGTAAGAGGAGTTTTTAATAAATTTGATCGGAGAAGACTTTTGTATGTTGAATAAGATGATTAGTTTGATATTGTTGATCTTTTAATGAAATAATATCAATATATTGATAACAATCTTCATCCAGAAAGTTATATGAACTTCCATTCGAATAAAATACATTCAAATAATAATTATTTATATCTTCGTTTGATAATGATTCAACACAGAATTTAAATAATAATAAAACAATTTCTGTATGAAATCAATTTCTTTTCTTTTAATAATAAGTAACAAGATAGATCATTTATTATTTTTATCGTTTCTATATTTCAGTCAAAAGAAAGAACTAATATAATTAATGATAATATTCTCTCTTCGATTAAATATCAAATGTAACAGATCATTTATCTACTAGATTATTTTCATTAGTTCATTCATTTTATTAAATGAACATTATTGATTATTGAACTTTTTTCTCAAAATTATCTTTATTAATGAAGCAATATTCTATTCTTTAAGATAATTTATTTCTCTGTATCCTATTGAGAATATAAGATCGATAATGTCATTTGTATATATCGACAAAGAATCCAAATCTTACTTGAAAGAGAAATTTCCTGTTTAACTATAATTAAACTGCGCTGAGAATTATTTTCGAGATGTTGATGTTGAAAATAGTAAATTATAATTTTTATAGAATTTAATAATATTAATTGAATGAATTTTAAGTTGATTTATATAATGTTCAAGTTGAAAATATATTTAAGGATAAGTTTTTCGAAAATTGTCAAAGATGCATATTAATAAAATGGGTTTCAAATGATAACATTTCTAAATATTTGTTTAGATATTCGATTAACTGACAAATTATCAATAATATTTCAATAAGTAATTGATTTGTCTTGTGTCAGACATAAAAAAAAATGGATTTTGTAAAAAGCTTTGAATATGTTCATAAAATAATATCTGAGAAAATGAAAGATATCGATTGTCATTCAAAAAATCAAAATATATTGCAGATGTGGATGAAGCTCACACTCACAACTGATCCCCACCTATACCTTTTTCTTTCTACCCTCTTTCATTTAAATTTATTTGTGTGTTTGTAGTTCAGTTAATTTTTCTTCCTTTATTTCTATGACATATATATTTTATGACGATCGACGGCTTATAGTAACGGCATTTTTCTCTCGTCAAACGACTTAATGGTCATCCGTTAATGGAGATAAGAGTAATGTTTGTGTTGATGCAGGAAATAATGGATCAAGACGTGCAAATGAATAAACACCAACACCATCGATTCCTCGTGCCTGTCCATAAATAAAATTCCAACTTTCGTTGGGATAAATATCATCCATAGTTACAGCAACACGTAAAAGTTCTTGTCTTGGATTACGTTTATGACGTTTTTGAGATAAATAATTGTAAAAGCCATCTGTTCGATATTGTCGTATTCCATCATTTTCTCGAAATTTCATATCTTTTGAAAAGTCACTAGTTGGTAATAATTCAATTTCACATCCAGGAAAAAAATGCACGCGCAAATTCAATAATAACATCAAGTGGTGCAGCTCTAAAAGGTTATATTAATAATTTGATACGAGAAAACAACAATATTCATTTTTACCGAGGATGATTAATACTACCAACTGGTTGAATATAAATAATTAGTTTTGTAACTATCATATGAAAAAGAAATCTCAGCAAAAGACCAGGAACTAATAAGCTATTACTTACGTTCCATGCGGAACAACTTTTGATACAATGCATTCAAATGATTTCATAGTTTTTCCCGTTTCTTGATGATTTCTCAACCAGTCATCACGACTAGGTTTTGGTACTTGTTGAAAACTCTCATCAGCTTTGTTTGTTACAGCCACTTTCATATCTCTTGGTAACTACAACAAGAATCAATTACGTAAAAGACAACCATATTCTATATACACTAGATCTGTTTAATATCACCAAGAGCTTCAGCAATTCGTTTAGCATCCGGAGGTACAAAATTCATGGTTACTGTAATATGTAAAATCGTTGACAAAATTAAGTAATATAATAAAATATGGCTAGAACAATTTAGATAGGATTTCATGAGTCATTGTATTAATTATGAGTAATTTTATATAATTCTACCACACCAATGAATTTTTCGTTGATTTAACGACAAATTTTATGTAGATAAGAGCATGACAAGAGAGCAGCGATCTCTAGCGAAAAAGTTGATCTTTGAATGTGAATATGAGTGCATGGTTGATAAAAGGACTAACACTTAACACCCGCACGCACCCACATCCTAAATAAGGAAACACCGAACACACCCACATCAACTCTAGTAGAAAATACTCTGTTGGCATATTTTTCACCAACACTACAAATGAAATGCTACAAACTCTTATTTGAAAATAGATCAATTTTCTTTCATAACACAAAAGTAATATTTAATAATATTTACTTACTCTGCCTTCATGCAAAGAAAAAAACAAATGAAATCCTACCATTAGAAAAATCAGGTAATCGAATTCGTTGGATACACAGATATTAATTTATTTTTATCGTAGTGTCAATAGCAGGGCGTTCTTTATTTTAACAATTGCCATATAGTTCATGAAAATTACGAGAAAGTCGGAAAAGATCGTCAATTTTAGTGAACAAATCGAGATGTAAGTCCGTAATACAAGTGCCGATTTTCATGAATCAGATCGTTTCTTCTATTATGAAAGGCTATTTTGTGTTGAAAAGCTTTCTGAAATCCTAAAAGGAAATCAAAGATAAAGAGACTTTTCAATATAAATTGAATGCGATTTTCCTGTTGTGCCGTAGTGTTCAACTTGATTTTAACTGAAATTTCAAATTTTACCGTACACTGATAGAGAGCAAGACACACAGCGTTCGTTATCTCGTAGATAAACGCGCTGAGATAGATATGATGACTGTAGTTTCTAGCTTTTGATAAAGTGTAGCTTGTAAGTGGAATTTCAATTCAATTCAAGTTTAAAGTTTAATTCATGGAATTAAGTGTAAGATGGGCGCAAAAGAAAGAACAAGATAAATGCAAAAATTGTCTTTTCAATCTGATTCAAATGAATACATCTAGCTGCGCTCTTTGTTGAAGTTGCAATTGACGTTGACGCTGACGTTGACGGAGTGTATGTTGGTTTTGGCGTTGTTGTTGTTGTCGATGATTTTGTTGTTGTTGTTGGAACCGTGATATTTATCGGTATGACATAGTTGCGTTGAATTAGTTCAACGATAGCTTCTGCATTTGATTGTGAAGCACATAAACGTTGGTTGCAAGTATAAGCCATCTCATCAAATATCGGATCTTGAGAAACTACATGAGCCCAGTCAAGTTCTGGTTGTTCTGTGGAATTGGCACATCTACTATGAAATTCTAAGGGTCTGCCATCAGACCAGACTCGATAAGTTGCCTTACAGAATCCTTGACCAGAACATGGTTGACTACTTGGGCAAGTATCATGAGGTCGTGGATCACTTGAATTAAAGAGCACATCGGCTAGATTCTTTTGTAAACTCTTAACTTGGTTCTGGACTTTAAGCCAATCTTTTTTCAAAACCTCTTTGACAAAGTCTTGATCACAGTTGTCTGCTGTAGAACAGTCCAATCCAATCATTAGATTGGATGTTTCATTGTAAAGTGCGAATATGGTAATCGTATAGAAATAAAAACTCTGTGGTGGAGTTTGAGCATGAATACGTCCAGCAATTAAACCAGACCCGTAATCTAATGTCAATTCAACTTGACAACTTTGCTCAGTAGAGGGTTTATCCACTACAGTGCAAGATGGAAAAGTAATATTGTTGATGGAAGTGAAGAAATTGCAATTGGCGGCACAGACCAGACCATTAACAAGTCGATTTGATGCTGATAACCATAAGATAAAGACATAGGCGAAGCATGGCTGATACGTGGAAAAACAGTTGATATTCATTCCTTTTCTCCTTTTAATGTGTTCTTTCTCATTTACCGGTGTAGTGTGGAGAATGCTTATCGTCCTCTCGCATTATGTTTCTTCTATTCTGACGCACTTGCCATCGAAAACAACCAATGAATACACAGTAAAAGGCCTTATCAGCAACAATGTACTTTGGGTGAATAATTATGCATCCGTAGATACGTACATAAAACCGTTTAAATAAGTTTGTTAGCGTAGCTCACTTGCACTAAAATGCGAAGCTAACATATAGGGTGTGGATGTGGGTCTGGGCAGGGTGTGGGTGTGGGTGTGGGTGAAAGGAAGAAGTACATCCCCATCCACACCGTGCCCACACGCACCCTGATCGTTCCTAAACCACACCCTACAGTTGGACAAAGTTTCACTAACAAGGATATTATACCTAAGAATCTGCAATCTGGAATTGTCTATCATTTTACATGTAATGATTGTCCTTCTCAATATATAGGACAAACCAGTAGACAAGCGATCAGACGCATAATTGAACATGGTTATTCTGTACCAATATCTATTGATGAATCAATACCCTCAGTAACATCTCAAATAGATTCAACTGATACACCACCACTGAGAAGATCTAATCGCTTAAAAGAAGAAAGATTATAGATCGGAACAATATCTGGTGGCCAGTTGAATCCAAATTCTCAATGTCGGGAGTGGGAGAGCGTTCATACGAATTCGTATAAACGTTCCGATTTAAAATCGGCTCTAGCAAGACATGCAGTAGAATTTAATCATCAAATCAATTATACTGATTGAAAGATCCTGTTTAAAGATAGTGCGATCCACAGATTAAAAGTTAAGGAAACATTAGCTATTATGGCTTAAAAACCTGATCTTAATGCAACTACTCGTTCTACTCCATTAATTATTTTTCCGGAAGGTATAACAAATAAAAAGAAAGTCAATTTTAAATTAAAATAGAATATCGTAGATTTTTCTAGACTATATGACTCATCAAATATTTAAGTACAAACATTTAGCGCATATATATACGTCGTTATTTCTTCTTTCCTTTGATTTAATCTATTTCTTCAACATAGTCTCTTGGAAATGATGATTAAACTCATTGAAAGCTCGAGTGGTTTTTAATGTTATTATTGTAATCGTTATATATTTTTGTTTTTTTAATAAAGACAAATGTTCTTAGCTGCTGTGAAATCAACTTTATATATTAATTAGCTTAATTTATAATTACTTCAATAGATTGGAATGATGTTATTTTGTTAAAAAAAAACTTTTTAAATATTTGTAATCATTTTACAATGAGATTGATTAATTAGAAGGATAAAAAGAAACATCCTAGATAATGAAAAAGAGATAGTTGAAGAATGATACAGATTAGAGTTTTCTGAGATATAATAAAATAAATAAAACATAGAAGAATTTCAGATATATTAGATCATTTATTATATAATAATTTCATCCATTGTCGTATTGGTTGCCATTCACATTTTTCTTATTTATTCCCATGTCGCCTCTTTTGGGTGTGAGTGGGATGTGGGGGTGTGGATGTGGGTGTTGTGTTCTCTTTATCGAGACCCATACCCACACCCATCCACACCGACCCACCCGCACCCATATCCCACACTCATACCCACACCCACACCCTATGGGCGTGGTCGTGAGTGTGGATATGGATGTGAGTAAAAAGAAATGGAATCACCCGCACCCACATCCTACTCTCACTCTCATTTTCTTCTCATAGTCTTAAAATAGTATTCATTATCCATCGTTCATTACAATTAAGTTCCTGATTTGTACGCCTTGATGAGGCGAACAATGTCCAAAAATTGAGAAATAAGTCTCAAAATCTAAATCACGCGTTACCTATAGCATTCTTCATATTCAACCCAATATCGACGAAAAGCTGTGCAACCATAATGGGTACATGTAACAGTGTTGAGGATACTGCATTATTTTGGTTTGGAAATGCAGAAGTTGTCGGAATCCAGAAGAAAATTATTTTCCAGCCATTAGTCAGTCTTGATACGATGAAAATTTGTCCATTTCGAAAGGTGATAGATTTAAATAAAGCACGAAAATAATCATGTGCATATAAATATTATTTGTATACCTCTCTCTAAGGTATAAGACGATGTTGATGATGGATGACAGAAAAGTCAATATTATTTTTTCATTTGAAACAACGTCAAAAGATTCGAAATCTATTGTCGGCGCCAGAATTAAATAGGGGTGGGTGTAAAACGAATATCTCGAGAATGGCAGTAGCTAGCGACCTGTGGCTTTCACCAACTGAAAGAGTAGAAGTTGGGACGTCTTTTTCTCCGATAATGTATAAGATAAAATCCTTTTAAAAGTAATCATCTTTGAAAAACATGCAAAAGAATGCATGAAAGTGACCTTTTATCTAGATGAAATTTTGATTTTGCCCTTTGATTTAGACAGAGGGACTTGAGATCTATAGTTTAAGATACAATGCAAATGGTTCTCCTATTGCATTCTAACATTGAGCAAATGGAATCATGTATTTACATGCAAGAAATAATAGGGAATTTTACTGATTTTTTACTAAGTTTTCACACTTTTTCTGATAATAGCGTGGATTTTCGATAAAAATATAATGAAAAGTAAAAAAGCGCATTGTATCTTAAACTATAGATCGCAAGTCCCTCAGTCTAAATCAAAGGGCAAAATCAAAATTTCATCTAGATAAAAGGTCACTTTCATGCATTCTTTTGCATGTTTTTCGAAGATAATTATTTTTAAAAGGATTTTGTCTTATATATTATCGGAGAAAAAGACGTCCCAACTTCTACTCTTTCAGTTGGTGAAAGCCGCAGGTCGCTAGCTACTGCCGTTCTCGAGATATTCGTTCTACACCCACCCCTATTTAATTCTGGCGCCGACAATAATTACGTTTTCTTTTTTTCTTCTTACGGCAACAATTAATTGAATAGTTCATGAGTGCTGTGTATAAGAAGAGAGACTGTATAATACAGGTTTCGTTCGAATAAATATAAAAGAAAAATATAAACAACAAAATTGAAACTTATACGTCTTTCATTATCAAACAACAGAATTGAAATTCAAGAGGCAATCCTTTTGCTTATAAGAATAGTATTTCTGCGCATTATTTTGCCAGTCTCTTTCTATCTTCGATTCATTTCATTTGAATAATTTTTAGTTAGAACTCGGCAACCCAATAGGCTTTTCGAATTAGAAATGATAGTAGGACGTAGCGAATGGTCGACAGAAGAAGCTTCAGGTTTCAACAAAGTTGAATATATTCAGAAAGACCTCAATGCAATCAAGAACGTGTCTGAAAGTAAGGAATCCTCCATCTCTCTCAGTGCTTCATAGATTTAATGAATTTCAGTCCGTGTTCCTCAGATAATACCAACTATTCTGTTCAGTGCGATTATTGGAGGTTTGGTCGCTAGTGTTGCTTTGGCGGCAGTACTTACTGTCTACATCAATGATCAATCGAAGCAAGGTATTTGTGTGATCTGAAAATGAAAACAGTTAAACTCTTCGCGAGGTAGGGTGGGTGGGTGTGGGTGAGTGTGAGGTGTGGGTGTGAGTGAGTGTGGGTGTGGAGATGGGAATGTGGGCGAAGAGAACACTCATTACAACACCTACTCTTCTTCACACCCCCACTCCCACTCCCACCCACACCCACACCCACACTCACACCCACACCCTCTAAAAGAAATGGTAGTATCATCAGAAGCCGAAGAAACCGCCAAATCTCATGGTACCTCTCCTTTCGCCCCAAAAATCTTGGCATTTTACCGCGACGAGATAGAACGAGGCGGTGTAACACCGCGATTCAGTAATCTCTGATATTTCATATCAAGAAACAATCTTTTTCGACGACTCTATTAACTACATCAACAAGAGGATACATCCTATTCCACGATGTTGAACATTGTGGAACTAGTTCCGCCCACGGAATCAATTTCGTCCAATTCCGAAAACTCGATTATCATTTAACATAAGCATCCTCATCGATATCGATCGAGTTTCGTCAATTTTCGGAATTCCAGGAATTAACTTGAGACCACATTACTCAAAATTCCCAGAAATTCTGTCCAATTTCGGAACTGAAAGCGATTCTCGGAATTCCGAAGTCGGATGGAATGCCAGAAACTCCTAGGAATTCCGTTCAATTCCGAAATAAGGAAGCAGTTTCTGGAATTTCCTGGAAATTGACGGAACTCGATTAATATCGATTAGGTGGCTTGTGTTGAATGATGACCAAGTTGCCGGAATTGAGTAGAACTGATACCGCAATGTTCAATATAGTGAAATAGGGTAACTGCTCACAAAAAAGTACTAGTTTATAGCAGTCAGTAATTTTTCAATTTCGAAAAAGAATAATTTTTTTCTTTCGTCTTCTACCAAATAGTAAACGCTAATACTCTCAGTCCAATTCTTGTTGTGAATCTCATTATCGACAGTATCGGTATTAAACATGTCCGACAAATACTTATCGCTTTCTATCGGCAAATTTTTCTTGATGATAATCTTCTTATTAGAAACGTGAGAAAAATTCATATAGAAATGTCTTGACCTGTAAAGATAATTCGATGAAAAGTAAATTTAATTTTTATCCAATGAATTCGAAACTCTTTTGTAGACACGGGAACAACAATATTGACAAGTAAATAACTAAGATATTATGAAGAATATTAAAAATTGCATTGAATACTAATTTTTAGCTACAACGACATCAACAACAACGGTAACAAGCACCACTAGTACAAGTACATCTTCAACATCAAGTATGTTATCAATTGAAAAATTCTATTGAAAATGAAACTTATCTGAATAGGTACCACTTCTACAACAAGTAATTGTATTCAGTGTAGATGTAGTTCTTGCTCATTAATCTATCTCCAGGTACAAGCACAACTACGACTACAACAACAACTTCAACGACAACCACTACAGAAACTACGACAACTTCAACGACAACAAGCACCACGATCAGCACAACAACAACAACTAGCACAAGTAAACAATAGTAGAACATAGTTCATCGAAAACGTACAGTTGCACAAATGAAATGTTGATTGTCCTTACAGAGAGATAGAAAAAGACGATACTCTGAGATCAAATGATTATGTTGACTATCACTAAAAAGGAGTTGAGTCCGTCTGTGAACAATAGAGAAAAATCCCAATGATAATTTCAGAAAACCGTGTGTCGTTGTAGTGAACTAAATTAAGAAACATAAAACGATTTCGATCAGATTTTTGAAATGTATTGATGATTTAATCAGTTATTTCCTATTTAATCGTATATGAATAGCTACAACATCTGCTGCACCTCTCTCATATATCTTCTGGTCATTTGATTCCAATGTCAATGATATGTATAATGTATACAATGGCGTTGGCATAAATGGTGCGACTTATATTTCACCTGGCTACACTGGTTATGGGTCGGCATTGTCTCTCAGTGGAGCAAATTCCCAATACGTTCTCGTGTCAAATTACAAAGACATGACATACACAAGTTTCACTTGAGAAATGTGGTCTTATCCAATCAACTTAGGTGAGTTACTAATCCTGTCGAACTTTCTCTGATAGGAATAGATCTATATGAACAATTCTATGATAAAAACTGGTCGAGTCAAGATTAACACATTACTTCAGTCTGATCTCTATAAGTCTTCAATGAGTGTCTGCGAATGTTGCCTATAACATATTGAACATTGTCCTAGGGCTTAAAATATGATATGTAACACTTGAAGAAAACGCAGAACTACAGACTCATGACTCTGAAAGTTTAATGACGTCTAAGAGATTTGACGATGTCTCTTGCAGTACTTTGCCGTGTTAGAAAGTCTTTTGAAATTTCATGAGCTGCTTCACAGATTTATATAATGTTTCGAAATCCTTGAGATCTTTTCGAGTCTCGTGAAGTGTCAAAATCCGTACTTTTACTTTATACCAAAAGCTTTTGAACAGCTAAAGGTACGCTCTTCAAATAGACCTTGAAAAGTTTTTGCACGAAAATATGAAAACAGATAATTTTACCTTCCCAATTATCCACATCGTCTCACAACACTAATCTATGCAGTTATCATAAACTATGCATTGACATGCTTTACAATTAAGTATGTCTCATACACGCCACTACATGCGTAGATGGGGCTTATTCAATGAAAGAGATTCTCTAATGCAACAAATTGAATAGATCTAGTTTTCATCCAATGTAATTTCGAGATATAGCTTGTTACTAGAAAACATTGCTCGATCAGAATTCACGAAGAACTTAAATTTTCGAAATGTACTATTAAAGCAATATTGTTCAATATAAAGATGAGATCTAAGTTAATCTTCTGCTTGCAAAATTTAGATTCACGAATATTGACGTCTTATCTCTAATAAAACATGAGTAGAACATGTCTTCTTTGAGATCTGAGTACAGAACAGAATAGTAATAAGTTCAATTACTGAAGTTTTTAGTAATTATTATGATAAATGTAGAGATTTACTGATTTTTTAGTCATAATTATTTTGAATACACATACTTATTCAATCGGTTCTACACAGGATCTATTTACATATCATGCGCTCGAAAGTTGATGTTATGAGGAAATTCTGAATCTTCCAATTATTTTTCTCAGATGTAAAATCATCTGTTAACATTGAAGCAACCCTTGAATGAGATAGACTAAATGTATGTTTATATATTGATTAGTTAGTACATTTTATCTTTCTAGATAATTACGACAATTTGATGTTTGGCATGTGTCAAACAACTAGCATTAATTTGTGCATGTACTTAATGATTCGACAAAACCGAACTTATTTTGCATTTTATGGTAATGATTGTTGGGGCTCAACAATTGTATTGACCAATTGTTGGTACCACTTCGCATTTGTCTACGATTATGCAGCTCTGACACAATACATTTATTTGAATGGTATTCTCGAATGTACACATAGTTCATCAAGTCCATTTCAGGCAACAAGTGGAGCGATCACTATTGGAGCGATTAATAATACAGGTACGACACCAGCCTCATTTTGGACGGGCTACATCGATCAGATGGCATATGTATCGAGAGCGAAGACTGCGACAGAAGTTTTAATGGATGCAACTCTCGTGGCTTATTATTCATTTGATGATGGTTTATACTGTGATTCAGGACCAAACAAGATCAATGGAGTACGTCGAAAAAAACATAGAAACCTATCTGATTCATTTCCTAGATCAAAGCATAGATCTAAATCACAAAATAGGTTTATTTTCATTTCGTACCAAATAGACAGTAAAAGATATGATTGAAACTGAGAAACCGCACTGATAGAAAATTGATTCACCACAAATAATAACTGAACACTGATTTTGAATGTAATATAAAACTGATATGGACTTCCTATATTGATAGAGCATTTGTTAATCTGAATATGTGATACTGATTTGCTATCTTCTTAGACCGGCGTTGGTTTAAGCTCAACAACAGGTCGTATCAATCAATCCATTTTGTTCAATGTTTCTGGTGCTTATTTTCAAGCAGGTGGATTTACTCTATTAGGTGTGGTTGGTCAAGCCTATTCTATATCACTTTGGGTAAACAAAGCATTGTCAACTAGTGGAGGTGGAACCTTATTGCATGTATCAGCAAAGTAAAGAAAAGTTTACATTCACATGTGCTCTTCGACAATGAGTAATTCCATCCAAATCATATCTGACCTAGTTCATGTGCACTGATAGACGCTTCTGCCGAGAAAAATTATTTATTCTGAAAGAGATTTTCTAATGAAAAAAGCTGATATCAGATTTAGTCGCAAACCAATAGGTAATTTACTAAATTAGTCAATGCATCAAACGAATACTCGTTTGATCCATGCTATGTGATCAAAGTACATTTGTATCGGCTGTCTGTCGATGATGTAACACCAATGTCAAACTAGGAATAAATTGTTTCTCCATTTTTTTTCTCATAACAGTTGTAAAAGAGAATGCATCATTCGACAAATTTCTACCTCATATATATAGAGAGAGAGTCACATTTGTTTTCTTTCAGCTGAAGATTAAACTTAAATAAACATGAGCAAGATTTATTTAGCTCGAATGGAACATCATGGTGTATACCCATGTTAGGTCTGACTTCATCAAACGAAATTGTCGCTCAAAGTTGGAATTCTTTTATGATGACTGTCCAAGGTCCTGTTCTTCAGTTGGGCGTGTGGACTCATATTGTTACATCGTACAGTATCAATAATAGCGTTCGTCTTTGGATCAATGGGACTCTGATTGGCTCATCGACTACATTTACTTATGCTGCATCGAGTTCGCCTGATTGGATTACAGTAGGAACAACATTTCCAGCCGCAATGTCATGCGCATCGGGCAGTATCTCAACAGGACAATTCTATGGAATGATAGATGAATTGAGAGTTTACTCACGAGAACTCACCTCAAGTGATGTTTATGCACTTGCCAATCCTTAACAATTACTTTATTGCTGCGCAGACGAACCATCCAATTTAATAGTCTATTGACTATACCAAAAACTTTTACTTGACGATTGTATAGAATTTCAGAAGAAACAATCAAGAACATCTTGTATCTTCGGTAGAAAACGAAGATACATAATAATAAAACATGTGATTTTTTTCAAATAGTATTCTTGAAATTTGTGTGAATCTTCAAGTCGTCTTTTCTGAGTGTCACCTAATAAATCTCGCCAACTAAGAATTCAAGATCAGTTACTGAATTGAAAAGTGTACGTAAGAAAGTTTTTTGATGAGAAAAGTGGAATGAAATTTATAGAAAATCGAAATCGAGCGCTGTTATGCACCCTAATTTCGAACCGATAAACTGACAATGAGTTGTCAAGTGCTCATTATTGTTGCAAATATACTTTATTGTTCTTGATTTAAGGTAAAGAGACACAATTTCTACCAAACATACTGTTTGTCAAGGAGAAACATTCGTCTCGAACCATTCTAGGTCGATATGAAATAGTCCAAATGTGTCCAACTTGAATATAGATATTTGAATGCATTAAGTTAACCATTGAACCGAGTTATGGATCATTTATGAAAGCATCTTTAAGAGGCCATCACGCAAATATCTTGGTCACTATCCATAGCTCCAAATCGACATTTTCGCGAAGACTCAGATTGAATATTGTCGATGAAATCGAGAAGTCCGTTTTACACATACAAAGAAAAGAATGAAGAGCAAGAAGTTGGAGTTAAACTATTGTGATAAATGAAATAAACCATGCCAATTTAGTGCTTTCATCCATTAGAAGTTTGGTGGCATGATAATGACAGAATCCGCGTCTCGTTATGACAAAATCGGCAACAAGGTCATTAGAAATGTTCACTGAAATAGAAAAAGAACATAGAAAAAGACCGAGGTCAATTGAGACAACGAATGATTTAAGACATAAAAGATTCAATCATACTGCGCTAGACAGAAGATATAGCAAAGATGAGATCTACTCGTGAAACTCAACATATATATGTGAGCAACGTACATTTTATACAAATTTCTTTATACAATTATTTCTTTTTTGCCGAGATTACTATTCCATTCAAATCAGTGCTGACAGTTAAAAATTCGAAATGAATATACACCAGAAGCACAACATGTGAAACTTAAATTCAAGTGTTCAACTAATGAATGTGCTACATAATGTTTATACGTACATCTACATATAACCAAATTGAACTAGATATCTGCAAGACACTTTAATAATTTAATGCAACTTTCAAGTATTACTCTATTGCCAGACACCATTGTCTTTACACATTGTCATTTTTTAATCGAGTTTCATCTGATGAGAGAATGTCTTTTATGGATTGTATTCAATAAACGAAAGTTATTCTATATTTGGCGTGAGAGTATTTCAACACGACTATTTTCTTTTTCCCACTGTCAATCTATTATCAAAATCCTAGTTCAAAGGTGCATTTTCCTAGTTCAAGGATATTTATTCTATATAAGTCTCGTAGCAATCTCTGTGAAGGTCTAGTTGGATTTTGAGAGACATAATTTTTTTTGTGTACTGTACATCTATGACCATAATCTTACTTAATAAGAGAATTTTTTCAGTTTACGATGAGTTTGACCGATATCGTAAATTCTTATCAATAGCATAAGTCTATGAGAATAATTGTTATCGATTCAATAACATATCTATGTTTCCGTAGAAAATTATCTAAATCGTTTATGCTTGAATAAACATTTTTTGCGGAATGACTTAATTTGATATGTAAAACAATTTTTCGCGATGACGTGTTTCAATTCAAAGAATAATGATCATAGCCAAACGATAGAACTTTAGGCCAACTACAAGACGCTATTCAGTTTTATTTCAAGAGGCAGGATTCCAATGGATAAACTGTCAATCATTTTTTTAAATAGTGAACATTGTCAACGATTTGTTAACTACATAGTTTTTTGTTTATTTAAAATATCAGATGAATAAATATCTCTAGCATAACTAGAGAACGCTAAGAGTAAACTAACTCTGTTTTGTGAATAGTTCGTTGCTCCAGTCAATGATATATATATGGCTGTCAGACTCGCCACTTCATTCCCAAACATTCCGACAGTATCGTCAATCACCTGTTGCTTGGTCGTGCCAGCCATGCAAAAATCAAAGAGAGCATTGCAAGTATCATCGCTAGTATCATGCCACTCGTGAGCTCGGCTTTGACATGACATAGAAAATCTACTTAGCTTTTGATCTCGTCACTATGAACGCTTGTACACGAGAATAGCTTTGCATATAGATGCCATCGTGGGTGTGGGTGTGGAATGTGGGTACTTAAATCATGAAAAAAGAATACCCACACCCACACTCATACACCCACCCATTTAGAATCAATAAATTTCTACAACAAAAATAATTACAATCTCTTTTTTTGTTGCATACTATTGGTTGTTATTTCTCAATCCTTAAAAATAAATAATAATAACTTCCATATATTCTTTTTGCATAGAAAAACAAACGCCGGTAATGCTTTAGTCTTAGAATACGACAAGAGATGAAATTTAAAATAAAAATATATACAAAAAAAAAAATACACAAGTACTAGATAGTAGAATGCATATTCTTTGTTATTGACGTCAATAATGCAGAACTAGTTGCTCTTGTTTTTATTAGATCAATATCCTGTTTAAGCAAAAATTCAAGAATAATAACAAGCTTCTCGAAAAAAAAACAAAACACTTTTAAAAATACAAACTGTTATTTTGCTTTTACATGATATTGAAAAACAGCTGCTTTTCATATCAATGTTATTTTATGATTTCATGTAGATACAAAACCTATCGATGGTAACTAGCTAACTGTGATTTAGTAAAAGAAAAAACATTTTTTGTTAAATGTAAATTCTAATAAATGCATCGATTCCTCGTCGACATATTGGACACAATCGCAGTGAATGACCACATGCGACACATGTTGCCATGTGCCCACATGGTATACAAGCTAATTGTTTTCCTTCTGTCAGACATAGAACACAAAGATTCGATGGTTCTGAATTAGTTGATTGACTTCGATCATTGATAGTAGTTATTTGTTTATGTGTTTGTGTTTCACGTTCAATACCACTGCTTGTTGATTTTGATGTTGAGTGAATAGAAGATTGAGAAGTTGTAGATTGATTTGTTAATGGCTGCAATGATGTTGTCATTTCAACACCTGTACGATTGTGTACGGATTGAGCTGCATTAGATACAGTTGATGTTTGTTCACACATTCCTGTCTCTAGAGAATAAAAACCTTAAAATGAGGAATGTACCTAGAACAAACTCACCATTTTGTTCTCGGATTTGTTTCATTTTAATACTTGGTATAACAATATTTTCTTTTTTGCCATCAATATGCTCGATTTGTTTTCGAAGAATTAAGCAAGCAACATACAAATCACAGTCGGACACAAAATCATCACCTGAATAAATTATTCAAAAACAAAATACGAAGGACAATATGTTATTGATTAACGCACGTTTTATTCGTAATTGATCTTCCCAACATCGTTTAATGATAGATAATTTAAAATTTTGATCCAATAAACGTTGTGACATCGATAAGTCTAATCGTGCAGCGACGAGTCTGGATAAAGTATTTTCATCAGGTATTAATAATTGTCCACTATTTGCTGTTGCATTAATATGTACCAGATTATTTGAGGCTGTTTTTTCTCTTAATTCGCTAGCTCTAGCACGTTCTATCAAGGAAAACATGAATCAATTTTAACTAAAAATTTATAATTTTTCAAAACTTACCTTGTTGTATTCGTTTAGATTCTTGAATTTTATGATATAATTCTTCACCACATAATTGTCTAGCATATGCACAATATGGAAACCAACGAGCATGTTCAATCATTGGATTATCATTCGAACCCCAATTTTGTAATGATCCATTACAATAAAAGCAAGTAACAATGGTTTTTGCACCTGTAAAGAAAAATCCTGCTCGAACTAAATGATCTACCGATGGTAAATCTTCATTTGGCCAAGTAGCGAATGATGCATGACGTTTTGGTATTTCGGAATAAGCAGGATTACAAGATGCTCTGTACACAATATCACTAGGTCGTAATGAGCTGAGATTATTTGATATCGATGAAGCAATGCCTGTAGTTGTTGTCAGTGAACTTTCGTTGACAATAATTATTGGTAAAGGTATAGGACGCATCAACCTTGTTTTGACATATATACAATTAGGTGATAGTATTTTATGTAATTCACATGGATCATCTATATGTGGTGTCCATTGCTGACAAATAAGATTACAATAGATACATATTACTCGATCACCAACATTGCAATTAAAAAATCCAGCTTCAATCATTTGTGCACTTGATGGAACAGTATGATGTGGCCAATGAGAAAAGGTACGTCTTCGTACTTGTTGAAGTGAATCACTTTCAAATAAAGTATTTGATACAGATCGGAAACCCAATGTTTCTATTGTTTGACGTTTAGAAGTATTTTCTTCTGCAGTTGATACAGATGCATTTCGAGTACCAGTTGTTGATGACATGGAAGACGCCAATACATCTGATGATAAAGTTGGTACTGTAGAGAGCACAAATGAGCAATCAGGTTGACATTTCGAATGAATAGTAAATGAATTCATATCTAATGTCCAATTGGATACCTCAACTCCACAATCTTTACAACGAGCTGTATCTCCATCACCTATATATTTAAAACCGGCAGCAGCCATAGAGTAGACAGCGTGAACGCCTGGTCTCTTTATTGATTTAACTAGTGTTTGAATTTGATTAATGATTATAGCAAGAGTTTGAGAACCTTCTTTTTTCTTATCGAATAGTTTCGATGAATCATCCATTGATTTGTATTTATTAGATGCACCATTCAAAGGTTCGGTTGGAATTTTGGCTGTGATCGACATTTTGCTTTAGCTATCTAATAAAATCTAAAGGAGATATTATTTATAAATGAACATTTGATTCAT